AAAATATCTCCATTTCAGATGGAGGACTAGGATCAACTGGGAGTTTTTGTCCAGTCGAGGCGGAGAGTGAAAGGTAAGATGTCCATGGGGGCCAGTTGAACTGAGCCTTGAAATGTTCAGCTCAACGGTCAAGACAGCGTTACTGATCGTGAATGAGTGCGCCATCGGATTCCTTAATTATCTCAAGCCTATTTCCCTAGGATCCGTATTCCTATTTAGATGGAAAAGGTCATGACTATTACTAATAGCCGCAGCTTTCTCCATCTATTTACACTTTTCTACCCACCACTTCTCGCGGTCATTCCTCAGGCTCTTGATGAGCTGGCGTTCGAGGGATTTGCGCGCTGTGTAGTATGTGGCATCCGGAGGAAGGATTCTGCGGGCTTCCAGCAGGGCAACCGAGGTCGACGATATCCATCGTTTGTTTTTGAGCTTGTGGCAGGGTCCGACGTTGTTTTTATTGATATCTGCATAGCTTCCTTGATTTTCTGCCAGTGTTCATTGAGTCCTTCGGTTGGTGGTTGAACTCATAGGTGATCGGAGAGTTCCGTTTCGAAGGCTGATTTGCATGAATCACTGACACTGTATCGCGGATATCCGTTGTCACTGGCTGTTTTACGGTTGTTTGCCAGGCGTATGGAGAACTTGGCTCGTAACAAGGCGTGGTCTGTGTCCACAGCTGTTGACCGGCAAGAACGGAAGTCTTGAATTGATCCCCTCCAGCGGTAACTGATAGCAATGTGGGTCTAGCGCCGTGAAGAGATTAGCGGTTTCTATGTCAGGTGGTGTCGTTTCTTGTGCGACAGGAACAGTCCGTGGTCGGCACAGATGAAGTAGACGGTCTCCGTCGTCCGTCCGGTTAGTTGGGATTGCATGTGGTCCTTTCTGCTTCGTCCAGGGATCCCACTTGAGCATTGAATTCTCCGGCGATTACCACGATGTCCGTTGACCGAGCACTTTGGAGTAGCTGAGAGAGATCCTGGCAGAATTCATCCTTGATTTCAGGTGCACTGCAATCGGTCTGTNTGACTATTCTCTGACACAGATGCTCACACAATTTCACTAGCTATTTTGGCCCACCAGTTTTGGTGATCTTCCTCAAGGCTTCTCCTGGGTTGACGTTGCAGGCACCGTCGGTCCCTATGCTGATCTTGGCAGATTGGAACCTTTCGCTTTTGCTCCATCAGGATTACTGACTCCTGAGAGATCCAATGTCTTCGGCGAACTTCGGACTCGGTCCTATAAACGAAGTTTGCTGCTGAGTGCATCGCAAATCTACTTTTATCCCTCTGCTGGTCTACTCCACTATGTCGCGGTTTTTCTAACTTCTGTCCCAGCTCCTTTTCATAACCTGCGCAGACAGATGGATCGCGCATACGATGACCTGAGTATGTAATTTCTGCTGATGACCGAAGAGTCGAAGAGTGAAGCGTAACGTAGTCAGCAGACTTCAAGCACAAGCTTTGTAGTGTATAGACTAAGGTGTTTAAGAGAGGCAGGGACCGATTTGAACCGCTTGGATACAGCTGACTCTGGGACTGCCATTAACCTTCGTATCTCCCTTCTTCAAGCAAACAGTTCAGTTCAGATCAGTTCAGTTTGTGCGACTATTAACCATGCACTATGGTGCGCAGGTTTTGGTTGCTATCTTTTGGCTGCCCATTAGGATGAAAATTACGAGAAAAACAGGAAAGGTTGAATGTAGGATCGGAGAGAAAATTGAAAAGATCAGTGAACTAATGATACACAGAAATTGAGGAGATGCATGAACGCCACTGTTTACGACATCCAGCCATATCACTCAGTGTCTCTAACCATCGGGTACGACCATCCCGAGGACCCCATCCAGGGAGCCTAATGGGACCTTTTGTGACCCACACCCCTGGTTAGGGTTTTCATACCCTCATGCCAGGTCATAATGCTTTGTCCGGTCTAGCAAACGGTGGAGTCAAACTCCTCCCAGGGAATAGAGTTCTTGACCTGGAATATGCCGATGACATCGTCTCGCTGGGTGACAACACACAAGAAATCCAAAACGCTATGAACCGCTTGGCGATCGAGGTATCCAGCTATGGTATGTGCTTTGCACCTTCCAAGTGCAAAGTGCTGGTTCAAGACTGACAGGAGCCTGTGCCTGCACTCACCCTCTGTGGTGATCAGCTAG